AATATCAGCTTTCTCCAAGATCAATTCCGTCTGGCCAGCAAATTCTAGGAACCACAGCTGGCCTGCGACCCTCAGCAGAACCGCTTGCAGACCAAGTCCAGCTCGCTCAAGGCAAAAGTCCGAGTGCTGATAGAACGACAATCCTTCATATTGATCAGGCAGCCAGGAAATGAACAGCCACCAATGCTGTTTTGTAGAACACCTGGAGACCACCAAGCCAATCTATAGAATCCAGTGATCGGAATCAAAATACAGTATATATGCAGAACAGAGGTCCCACCTTTGACATGTCCTCCCATGGAAGAAAACTTTGTTCCAAAATTGATTAAGAGACCAGCTAACCAAATCCGTAACAATAAAAGTATCCATAATTTCTGGTTTCGGATGAAAATGTAGAGAAGGCTCCAAGCAGCAAAGCAGGGAAGATAAGGAAGGGCAGGAGAGAAAGAAAAAGTGTCTTACTCCTCTGAGAGCAGGAAAAACAAAATAAAAACAAAATAAAATAAAAAAACAGTAGTCAGATGCAGCCTACATTTTTGGGGTTTTGTCTGCCACATTTGTCAGCAGCACAAGTATGCGCCTACGAATTGGGACATCCTATGGCACTGGCAGTGACAAAAGCGGCCGACAAATGCAGCTGACATCAGCTGCAACCCACAAATTTAGACACAGCCAAAGATTCCTGACAAAGTATTAAATATTTATAAACATGTGTTTATATACTTAAAAAAGTAAGGAATTTTGTGTTTTGTAGATTATTTCTTTGTTGTAACAATTTTTCTTGACATACCAGGCACCTGACTGGCTGCACCAAGGGGTACCAAAAACCAAATCAAATTTGGCAAATTTTTCATGTGTACAACTCTTACACCAAGCTCTACTGCTCATCCCACAAATCTTGTTCCTTAGATATGTGGTGCCATTTAAAAAGAAGTTGAACAGGCTTTCCAATGATTTATTTTCACTCTTGTAAATTTTTCTAAGTAATACTTTTGTCAGTACAACAAGGCTTAAGAATCACTGTTCTGGTTTGTGTTGCTCTCAAATTAAAACAAGCGTTCTGGATTTGTTTTTATAATCTGTATTAATTTGATTAAATTTTTTTACAGGCAAAATACAGTATGTTGGATCTTGGTTATATAGTGATGCCTTAACTTTATTTATGGGATAATTTTAGTGATTATTTTCATTAGCAGAAAATTTATACATAACAGTTTGTTTTTTATCAAATGTTAAACCTTTAGAAGAGTTAGCTTTGTTTGATATTCCTTAACAGACAGGACATGTGTGTGTCTGTGTGTGAACTGATAGATAAAAACTTAAATTTTTAACTAATTAAAATTAAACTACTTTGTCTAGCAGTCTTGTTACCAACTTTAGAAAACATTGTTTTGTGATAAATAGTGGTACTTATTAAAACATATGCATTCATTCATATTAAGTGTGACAAAAGCTCACAGGAAAATTTGAGCATCAACTGACCAAAGCTCCATTTTGCCTCATCACTCACAAGTTGTGACAATAATCAAGATGCAAACAGAACACCCAACATTTCAACTTGTACCATTAATAGAAAGACTCTGTGTGCCAGCTTTAATAAATTAACTGTGCTCTTCATTTTAAGCAACAGCTGTGGATCATTGCCTGGGTTTTTAGCTTGTCCATCTGTACGTCGTTAACGCAGTGTCTCTTGAAAATCTCAGTGGAATTTAACCAAATTTAGCCTGACTAATTGCTTAGACTCGGTGAACAGATTTTTGTGGTCAGAGGTAAGGTATAATGTAACTTTATGTGACATGCAGCAGTATCACTGTCGTACAAATTAGAAGCTATGTGGTAATTAATGTAATACAATGTCTGTAATTGTATCACCGTTCTGATTATAACAAAATCTTTGAACAACACAACTGGATCGTTTTTTTTAAATGAAGCATATGTTGTAAAAAGTTAAATCTTATGTACAGGTGATGGTCATAAAATTAGAATATCATGAAAAAGTTGATTAATTTATTATACTTCCTGATTGCAATCATCAAGTGAATCCACCTTGAGTTATCAACAGATGCAGAACCAACCAGATGCAGTGATTACTGTTTATTGGTTCCATAAAGATTGGTTCATCTGTTGAGTTAGATGGCTCTGGTGACAGTAACAATGTGTCAAAACATTTGGTATAATTTCAAATACCTAAGATGTGATAGAAATGTCCCAAATACCAGCCATGTWGAATGAAATAAAAAAAGCAGCAAAAGGCAAACTTATTTTGTCTTTTCCTATTAGAGTTTATATTCTTGACCTTTTAATCTTTAATATTAACAGCAGAAATAATTTAAATAGTGCTTAACCATATAACCCACAAGTTTTTACATTTTAACAAATGGGGGATTTACAGTAAATGTTTGCTGTAATTCCCCTCTGCGTTCTTTGTTTCTTAAGCTCAGAATCCCTGTGTGGAGTGTGGTGTCAGGATGATTCCTCTTGGTAGAAAGTAGTAGAAGGATTAGTAGAATCTCAGCACACACATTAAATCAACTTCCACTTGATCCGTTCWCACACTGTTGCTCATATTTCATCTTCTCCCTGCCAGGTGCTCCCTGTGCGGTTATGTGTGCAGTCATCCGCCGTCACTGAAATCTCACATGTGGAAGCACGCTGGAGACCAGAACTACAACTATGAGCAAGTTAACAAAGCCATTAATGAGGCAATCTCTCAAAGCAGCCGGTAAGAACATGAACTCAGACACAGTGGTGACAGTTGGTAAAGTTGTTAAAAAGGCTTTATGTCTATATTTTCAAATATCTGTTGAAAATCTTCTGGCAGTGCAGGCACTAGAAGTTTTAACAACTAAATGTGTATCATGTAGTCTTTTAACATCAATGACAAATGTTTTGTTCACATTTAATAATCCTGAAGAAAATACTTTTATGCATACTTGAAAATGTTTTTGTTGAATTTGCTTCCTTTTAATTGTGCAAAGCTTATGTATATTGTAAACAWAATGCAATGAAACCTTGGTTGTTATCACTCGAGTGTAATTTTTAAAAATCCATCTCTCTTGAGATAGATTACAGAATTTGGTAAGATGAGTGTGTGTTCTGTTTTAAGATCAAATACAATCAAATAAAATTTTAACTGATAGGATATTTTTTAAGCAAATTTTAAACACCAGATTGGTGATAGTTTATTTTCCATGTTGAAAGTTTACCTTTAAAGTAGAGGTTGACGGATACATCGGACAGACAATATTTTTGGCCATTATTTTTGAGTTTTTCTTGTATCGGCATCAGCCGATACAAGCATGCATTTGCCGATACAATAAAAACAAACAATCTTAACGTAAGATTGTTATCCATTGTTAATATATTTTCTTTGTTTTGTTAATAAATGTTCATTTTTTTGTTTAAATTGAGACTTTTGTTGACGTTTGTTATTGTGTCATTTTTATCGTGTAAATGAAAAAAGAAAAAGCAACATCCCCTTCAAGAATCATCCCAAAAAATTGGCAGCTTATATCTGGGATTGTATAGACCGATGTCAAAATAATTTGTAACAGCATCGGCCTTAAAAGACCTGTATTGGTCAATCTCTACTCTAAAGTAAATAAATACTGTTCGGTGAACATGTGCTTCTTTGACTCAAGCAGCTTCTGTCCTTATTTAGTCTGTTTGTTTTGTAATTTAGAGATCAGACATCATTTTATGAGTAATCAATACAGAAATCCTGGGAAAGTTGAAGGTTCACTAACTTTATTTGGAGTTTTAATGTTTTATAGGCAGTTTAAGATGTCTTTAAATATCAGCTTTCCAATCCAGTCATTAAAGCTTCTTTTTTTATTATTATTTATTTTTTTTGTGTGTCTGTCCTTTGTTTCCTTCAGAGGACCTCAAAAATTGTCAGCGGTGCCAGAGTCAGTGGCAGAGAGTCCAGTGTTGGTCCCACGTTCAAACGACAAAGTAAAAGTTCAAGTGGAACCTCTCTCAATATCCAGACCAGCAACAAAAGCCAGTGTATCTCTTGACAGCATAGCAGGCATCCCCATATCTCCCACAGACTCATCGCAGTGTCCCAGTGAAACCCAAAACCCCCAGGAGAAGGACTCCTCCCAGCTACAGTCCCAGAACCAGCTGCACACAGGCCAATTTCCTTCTCCGGGTCCCGGCATGGAGTATTGTGTGCTCTTGTTTTGCTGCTGTATCTGTGGCTTTGAGTCCACCAACAAAGAACGCTTGATGGAGCACATGAAGGAGCATGAGGGAGACATCATCAGCATCATCCTTAACAAGGAGCAGCAGCAGCAGCCAGAAAACCACCAGAGCCTCCAGACAGCAGAGTGAGAAATGACCTTCCCTCTCTACCASATTCTCCTGCTTTCTGTTCTTTCATATTGTTCCTGACAAATGCATTTCATTATGTGGCTTTACCTCAAAGGGGTTATGTAGGTGTAACTGTTCACCTCTACTTTGTCACAGTACCTAAGAGCCAAATCTCAGATGGTATGAGGTCGAAATAGCTGCTCTTCAACATGAACAACATGAGCAAGTGTCAGTAAAAAGTATTAAATCATTTTCTGGTTGAAAGGAATGTATATGGGCATAACCAACGTAATCCGTTAATATTCATGTTAAATCATTTCTCTTTATGAAGCTTTGATCCAAGTCAGAACATTGATAAACTCATGCCTCACAACCTCAGTATCCCCTTTATGAAGCTAAAAGAATTTCCCTTTTTAGGGAGATCACAATTTATAGCATCTTAATTATAAGGCAGCTTTTTCATAGGTATTGAAACATTTCATGCATTTGATCTAATACAGTTGAGGTTCTCATCTAGTCAAAGGAGATACTTGTGCGACTTCTGGAGGCTGAAGGCATGCATCACTGCTTGAATCAGCTTATATTTATCAGTTTATCGTTTATAAATTGTGTTGGTTTCCAATTTGTTAGTTTAAATGGGCATTTAGATATTTTTTCTCTTTGCTTTGTAGAAATAGCTTGTAATGTTACTTGAGTCTTTTATAAAGTAGATTTTTTAGAGGAGAAAATACTAGCTTGTGAAGGAGGAGGGTAADTTGTTTATTTTAGTTTGTTTATTCATTTCATTTAAAACAAAAAATAAAATAAAAACAAAAATAAAATAAAAACACAACAACAAAAAAAAGTTGACTACAGCAGAGGAGAAATGGCCTTTAATGATTGTAATCCACCAGTGATGGAGGTGTTGCTTAAAATGCATGTTGACAAAAGGAGCAAAAAAAGGGAAGTTAGCTTTTCTTGAGCTATTATAATCTAATGGTGCCAAGCTATTTGAAAGTAGGAAAATGTTTTAATGAAAGAAATACAATAATCAATCATGATTGTGGTGCTATGTTCATTAAAAAGGGTGAAGGTTTGACACACCTTTTTTATATCCTATGTTTATGTTGTATATAGTTTTTAATTAATAATATGTGTTCTTAAAAGTACAGACTTTTTTGCTGACAGTGTCTGAAATCAAAGGACATGGATGTGAAAAAAATTACTTTAGACATTTCATTTAATGGAAATTAGTGGCTTCATTTTGATGTACTGGCTTGCCTTGCAGTGAGACACCCACAGACTGACTAGCAACAAATGGTTAAAAAATAATCATAATATTTCAAATAATGCAGACAGTGTGTGAGAAAACCTGAAATTATTTTGTTTTGTATGTTGGTTTGTTTTTGTTAGATACTTACACTCAGTGTTCAATCAGGTTGTGTTAGTAAAATTTACAATGAGATGCACACTGCAAAGGAGCTAAATTACATATATAATTACTTTGTCTGGTTTGTACCTGTACCTTAGCCATCAGGGGTTATTGTCATTAACATCACCCTGTCATAACTGGGCCAAGTTTGTTTTCAGCTTCTATGAATTCCTCATTTTGTTCATGCATGGAACCGTAGACACCACAATTTTCAGGATCAATCTTGGACAAGCAAAATCATGAATACATTTGGCTTTCCTAAGGGCTTCTATTGAGCAGGTGTGTCCACTTCTAATCTTTGATGGTCACTATTCTGCATGTTTCTGATTTGAATGAATGGGTGATAAACGGGCTTCTGCAGAACTTGAAGAGGTTATACAGTCACTGAATCAGGTGTGTTGGAGCAAGGAGACAAGTACAACATGGCTGTTCAATGAGCATCAGAAAATCATTTGATCTGTTTACTATAATCATTAGTCAGTAAAAAGCCTTGTGGAATTCATATTAAAAGTATATTTTTTACATGAACAAAATAAATAATAAATAAATAAATACATAAATAAATAAATGTTCTCTTCTACACAGCAATAGACTGAATTGCCAGGGGACAAACCAAACAGCTTTCCATTGTTTTCCAATGAAGCACCCTAAATAGAAGTTAACTGAATTGAAGCAACTGTATTCTTGCTTTACAGATGACGACTGAACTATTGCAACACTATTTCAATTTGTCCTTAACAATATTCTCTCTCTTTATTTTAATGACCACATGTCTCAAAACCCTGTCTTCACTTAAGACCCTCTGTTAAAAAAAACAACATTTAAAGTGAAACACGTTCTGCATAACCTTGTACCATCGCTGCAGGTATGAGTTAATAATTCACAACACACTTTAGTTACGCATTACAATATTGATTTATAGTTGAACGTTCTTGCCGACCCTTGGCTGAGTTTGATAAACACACACACACACACACACACACATACAGTACATACATCCATTAAACTGAGGATTTTGTATCAACTTCCACTCATTTTTGTAACTGCGTTAATGCTTGACCCAGACATTTTCCCTGACCCTAACCATTACTAGTCTATTCCTAACCAAAACATTAACCAAAACTTAATTCACACCATACCTCTAAACCTAGCTAGTACCACACAGTAGAACTGCAAAAAAAGTGAGGACAGAGAAAAAGTCCTCACTTCTCAAACATGACCTCACTTTGTTGGTTAAAAACATGACGGCCCTCACTCTGTGGCAGAAACAAGTACACACAAACACTCTTAACTCATCTTTCCCATGTCAAGGTTCTGACAGGCAACTTTTGGTAAATCCTTCATGTACAGGGAATTCAAGGGACTCAGTTGAATTTCTTTGAAGAACTTTTCCCCTTATTTAAACCAATCATTTTTCAATGGCTCAAACTCTCGTAAGTCCTTTAAACTATTGTGTGTAGTTCTCCCCAGTTCTCTAAACAGCTATCCATTTAACCTCCACTCTGGGGCATTCTTAGGAGAAAATAAAAGGCACGTTTGATGTTTCCTCGCAATTTGTACAGCCTGCTGAGCATGAGATAACCTCTTTAGTTGAWTTATGAGGAAAAAGTTGTGTTTTTAACAGGAATTACATAAGGTGATTAACAATATAGGTTTTACCATCTGATAATATAGAATAACAGATTTAGTGATTCTCTAACATGTGCTGGATTGACCCTACATCTAAAGCAACTCAGTAATTAGTAGTGATGAAAGCCACCCTCCCTTTTATTTTCATTTGCACTTGGGCAAACATCTTAATAAAAGATGCTCACACATATTGCCAAAAAGGCATCAAATGACTAACAACATTTTCGGAGCAGAACAACTATTAGGATTTTCTATTAGCATAGTTTATATTCAATTTTTAGTGTTGACTTAAAAACCTGCATACTCAGTAAAATGACCATTTCATTATATATATATTTTTTCTTTTTTATAACACATTTTATTAACTTGTAAAGCTCATTCAATATGCTAAACAGTCAATCCAAAGAGCTCTCTCATTTACAGACCCCACAATTCACCATAYTGAACTGATATTTAAAAAATGTCAAGTAGCATATTCTTTTAACTATTTTTTAAAACATATATTTGAACAACCCTAAACGGCCATGTTAAAAAAAGAACACACTTAAAACTTGCGCAACTTAGTATGAGGTATTTCTGTTCTATTCCTATTCATACACATTGTACTTAAATGTCAAATTGCAGGAGATTTGTATACAGCTTTTTAAGAAGAATAATGTTCTTTATACAGTATGGCATCAGATTATTTTAAGTGCTCAATGACAGTTTCCCATTTCAATTATCACGTTATGTTTATTTATATTTCTGCCCCTGTATCTTACATCAGAGCTTACAGAGGAAGAAATGAAAATATTGGTTGGTTACCTAGAGCGGATGAATTTTTGACTTTTGATTTTAAAAACTGTAAATGGCTCATAGGATTACAATAATGTGTGAAACTGGGCCATTTAACAAGGTTAAGTGACCCCACCCATTTCAGTTTAGCAAAAACTTGCTATTATTCAATCCTCAAAACTTGAAAAACAAAACAAAAAAGAAGAAAACATTTTGGATGTAATTTTACTGCTTTATTGCCATCAATGACAGAAGCTAGTAACAGATGGCAGAAAAAACCATATAACACAGTTAAATTAATAAGTAATCTGCTCAGATAAATTTGAGCAATGTTAGTATTTAAACTACTTTAGATAATTTATTTTAAATTTATTTTCGCCTTTGTTGAATCATTTGTGTGGCATATTAACAGAGTAGGACTTAGGTAAAGGAGTTAGCTAAAGTTTTATACTTAGTGTGCATAAAAGTAAACAATAAACAATATTGTTGGTACTGCAGTCAGATCACTCCCACTACCAGTTGGACAAGTGTTTTTATTTGGAGGGGAAAGAGGCATTGAAAAGAACCATCACAATTTACAGCCTCAGTCTGTTCACCAGACCTGCTGGATAACTTGTTTTTTTACATCAAGGAATTCATTTATATTTTGATTTAATATTTTTGGTATATTTGGCTACAAGATTTTGTCACTTTCTGGTCCCACTTTATTGAAACTGAAATTAGGAACCCAAATGCAAAAATGTTAAAACTAAAGTGAGAATGTGTTCTTGGTATATTGTACACAAGACTTACTGAATTCATGTCTCTTCAACTGCCCTGAGAACAATCGAGGCTCAGCAATTAATTCATTTCAGAGGATATTTCACAATGAAGGAAGCACTTTAGTGGTAACCAGAGCTGAAAGAATACAAGTAGTATCTCTTGTAACCAGTTTCATTTCCTCTAGTAGGTTTTTATTAACACAACCACAGAGCCTTTAATGTGTGCCATATTTTATAAATTTTTAAGCAATTATTTTTCTTTCTGTTGGTTTTAATTTTTCGTTTTGTGTGCCTTTTGGTTTCAATTTGTTGAAAACAATTTTCTTCTTACTGTAAAATCTTTAATTATTTTATTCAATTTTACCTTTATTTTTCTTCTTAGTTGGAAATATTTAAGGGGTAGCAAAAATCCTGTGAAGGTGCTCGATATAATCAGGCTACAACCTCAGTTTTTCATACGGGCATTTTGAGGAGGTACAAATACAGCACACCAAGTATAGGAAGCATCCTGTTCATAGATTGTTTGCTAGAGCTCAAACACTTGTACTTTAAGCGGATACATACTACAGAACNGATACATACTACAGAACCTTAAAACTGACATTTTGTAAAAAAAAATAAATAAAAAAATTTTTATAAAAAATATATTTAAATTGAACTTTTGCTCTTTTCTTATCTACTGTTTAAGGGAAACAAAATGAGCTGTTTGCATTTAAGCCAAAGGAAAGTGGAGGAGATGAACTCTTGACTAGTGTATTTTTGTGCTCATATAAATTTTTGTAACAGAGATTCAACATGGAATGTCTCAGATTGTAATGTGACACTTTCATTTTGTGTATTTATTTTTGGAACATTATAGGAAGTATTGCATCACTTTGCCATTGTATCTTTTGCTAATAAAATAAGTGTAAAAATAACGTGTCCTGGGTCATGTGATTACATTTCAGCTTTGAGAGTTCACAAGTCTCAATCAAAAATAGTTCACTATAATAAAGAGGATGCAAAAATAAAATAAAAATAAGCAACTGTCTAGAGAACTAAGAGGTGGAAAGAAAAAAAATGCCGAAATTTTATTACAGTGAATGAAACTTGTAAAGGAAAACATTATTTCTCAACTATCTTATTTCAGAATGGAGAAGGTTTTGGACTCTGACAAATCCTGGACTTTTTAGATTAAATGTTTATTGTCCTACAAGGCTGTTTTCAAGGTGAACATTGAATTTAATCTTGTAGACAGGTGGGGAAACAAGGTTGAATACAGTTAAAGCTGAGCTTTTATAAGCTCTCTTGAAAATGAGTGGAATCAATTAAGTTTCACATTTTCTGTAGTTAAAGAAAATAATCTATTTTCAGTTAGGGCTCTTTATTCACACATAAGCCATCTCATTTTAAAGGACAAAAAATATGTCTCTGTAAWCCCCCTTTGGAGAAGAAGAAATAAAACTGATTTATTTCTTCACAAAACTAGGTTTTCTCCCTAAACATTTTAATGGCATCACCATGAAAATAAAGGCAAAGCACAAAATGAGGCAATAAATAAGTAAGAGCATGGAAAATAAGGTGAGCAGTAGGAGACGCTCAGTTCAAGAGAGTAAACACTCATCTGCTTTCCCCACTAAATGGATAATTCTAAGATTTCCTTGCTTGAGGAATCTTGCTTTGTGTTGAATGGATGAGGATTTTCAATCATATGCTGTAAAAGGGAGTTCGATAGGGCACAGTGGGAGAGACTTGAGTTWTCTTTTAATATCCATCTTTCTGCAGACTTGCCCCCATGTTTCAGATGTGCAGAAAGAGCAAATTTGGATTTGCATTTAGCATCTGAGACATGATCCAAGAGCTAAAAGAGAAGGTGGTCAAGAGTGAGCAGTTTTTGTTGTCAACMATAACCCCAATTCATTTGAAAGTCCACTCAATTCTTTATAGTTGGATTTATGATAGGGAACTGTTTGCATTTGTTGCTTTTGTAAAGCTTGGGAAAGAAGACAATATGCTCTATATCCTGGATGAGTTTCTGATTGTGATGATATTTTTTTGTGGTACTTGTGATATGAATGTAACCATCCTGTTTTGTGTGGAGTGTCTTATAAGCCCATGAGGGCTGGGCACTTAAATAAAATCAATCAAATCAAATCATCTTTATAAATCTTTATTAATTTTGAAATAATTCACATCAGTTTGTGCTCATTTTTTTTTTCTGAATGCCGTCATCACCCTCTGAGAAAAACTGTTTCTGACTTTAGGGTGACTATTAGTGTGATCCTTGTGCAGTGGTTGTATTACTTAACATTTGTAGATGTAACAAAACAGGAACAGAATTAACCTGATACAACATACAATAGCAAAAGGTAATATTGTACTACACACAACACAATGTGTTCATCATATGTACATCATATGGCAGAGGTGCAATGAGTACCAATACTGCACTCAATTAAAAATACCGGTAGTTACTTTCATTAAATTCTACTTAAGTAGAGATAAAGTTTAAAGTGCAAAAGTGCGGCTCACTGAAAAGTTAAATCTTACTTTCAGACAGCAGTATGGGGTGTCCTGTGCTGTGCATAATGGACTTGAGGGAACACTGAACTCTAACCAACAACTGGAAGAGGACAAGGTGTCTGTTTGTCTCCAAGGTTCTCAGAAATTCCGGTCATTTAAGGTTAACTTAAACAGCAAATGAAGGTGCCATAACCCAATGTCGTTTAAGTTTTGAACAAAAGACAACCTAAATCAGTTCCTATGTTCAAACACAAATCAAATCATTTCAATTTAGTTCAAACAGAATGCATTTTTATCCTCCAAATCATGAGCAGTGTGTTCTGGGTTCCCAGACCCACATTAATAACAGCTCCTYGCTCAGAGCTCCCCTACTCCACTGATATCTGTAGCTGCAGGAGGAAAGTCCAATAACAGTGTGATAATATCCAATATAATAAGTTCGATATCTGTTCTCCACATCATTTCATCTCAAAGGTGAGCAGGCAGGCCCACAGCAGTAGGGGTTTGGAGAGTAATGAAGACCGTTTCAAGGAGTATGATTTAAAGGTTGTTTTTAAATTAAAACACTGGCCAGGACGAAGGAGGGAGTCAACAGAAAAAAGGCCATCTATTCAGGTATGCAGCTTGAACACATACTCTACTGTCTGGCATCAACAGGCACAAGAAAAAAAAAACAGTACAAACAATAATAACATAATTAATTATGCAAATGAGAACAAACAAATGTAATTTTATTTGCTCCAAGATATAATTTTCTCAGACATCCCATTAGCAGTAGCGATTATCTCAGTAAGTCATTTTTGTCTAATATTTTCAGAAATTGGACCATACACTTTCAGATTTCCAAAGACATATTTTCATCCCTTTTTCAAGTTGCAAAAATAATTACACTAGTTACTATACCCTTGGTTTGGTGAGTGGGGATGGATAAAGAATAGTAGTGGGGACATCATAAGTGGGCTCATTGCTCTCCCCCGAAACACACTGAGCTTYGATTAAACCTTTGCGTTTCTCGGATGAAGGACACAAGGTTAGAAACAGTGTTCTGAGCTTCTCAGGATCTATAAAGGGGTCCCCAAAAAATGCCTTTCATTCCTGAGCAACTGATGAACTGGTGAACCGAGCTGTGCCTTGCAGCTCTTCACCACAATGGACCAGCACACGCTGTATGTGTACGCAATACTGTGGAAGCTGCACCAATTCGTCTGTCGATCTCATACCTCATTCTTTTCTCACTTGTGAACAAAACCCAGAGAACGTGTTGAGGCAGCACTTCACTCCCCTGTTTATCAAAACATAGAATTTGTCACAGCTTAGGTTATTATAAATAAAACCTGTCCCGAATTACAAATGCTTTAAAGAAGACAGATGATGCATGATGGACTTTCAGCCAGTTGCTGCATTGACACTGATCAAAAGTTTAAAAAAAAGTTCAAGTTTKTATTGCCTACTTTTGCAATTTGGTTTATTTCAAATTAACATTAATTTTCAAACAAAGCAATATTGCGTACTATCAATTTACAAATTAGGTAAATAAAG